TGCAAGTGACCCCCCTCCTTCCCCCCAAACGAAACACACACACACACACACACACACACACACACACACACACACACACACACTCACACACACACACACACACACACACACACACACACACACACACAAACACACCCCAGAACAGGCACACCCTCAACCCTAGCATTCCCCCAACTGAAGTGCATACCCCTTGTGTAGAAACATTGAAGGACGTTGATCCACAATATGCGAGGAGCAACCAGTCAGTGTAACTCGACTCGAGCTCACAAAACAAAACAAAAGATCGGCGCCCAACAACCACACCTTAAACCTTGTCAAGTAATATATCCCTTCAGGACATAACACAATACCATCTAAACATATTAAAACAATATCTGCTGGTCTAATGAAACATACAAAAGACATATGAACACAATGCCATCCTTATTATATAGGTCTACTCTCGAACAGAGTTATATTTCAATGGGCTTTCTCTTAAGAAGGAGAGAGAGGAATAAAAGAAACCTCCATACACGCGTATAAAGACAATGTAAATGTTTGCAACTGTAACTCAACTCACAATGCCTGATATCTTCCGATGCAATCTCAAGCTCATTGTGGCCGTGTGATTCCCACACAACACACACCAGAGGCTATTTGATGCTTTTGTAGAACTTTTTGGCTTCTTGTGGCGTTGTGAAGAGATGAATCTTGCACTCTGAGTTTGCAGGGGTTGTTTTGGAATCCACGGAAGGCGTTGATTTCTACAAACAACTTTGTAACGGTGTTAAATCCCCGTCGGATCCGGACCATTTCTGCAGATAAATCCTGCGCGAATGACTATCTTTGCCCCCCGTCATTGTGTGAAGTCTCGACATCTCGATTCACGGTAGACAAACTCTAAAGAAGCGGACGAATGACCGCTCATGTGTGGTTGGGTTTCCCGACGGCTAGCGTGCGATGAGCCCGCTCAGAGTGAGAGCCCTGTCAGGTGTCAGCTCAGCCATCTTGTCAGGCACGTCCGTTACGAAGTTGAGGAGTGTTTGTTGGCCTCGGCTCCTTCTCGTATACCAAACAAGCCGTAGAGTCTTTCTTCTGCCCCTGTTCTCCAGGTGCGTCTGTTCTTTGACTCAAGGTAACGCGATACGTTTGTTAACGGAGTCCAAGTGGCGGTCTCCGTTTTTCAAGGCGTCTTCTCTGCGTGGTGTATGCAGCCTTCGGCCCTCCGTTAATAGCGGGTTTGAATTGGAAGAAAACATCCCCGTTTTAATTCTGTTACTTT